GAGAAAACGCCTTTTGTGGCCCATGACAATCAAAGTAAACCTTACATGACAAGTAAAGGTTAAACGATTGCAGAAATGTTATTTATTTTACGGTTTAAAGTAAAGTCGTGTTTATGCAGGCATATTCTTGGAAACGAGCTGGCAGCAGAAATCACACAACAAAACGAAATGTTATCATTTCATAAGTAAATGAGTAAACAATTTAATAATGCAATTGAAAACAAGGTAATTCATATGACAACTAAAAACTAATAAAATTAATGCCGCGATTTCAATATTCATAAGGATTATTTTTTAGGTGTCGTCAATACGTCAGTTTTGTACGTTTAGAGGCTGAAAATATGTCAGTATTGTACGTTTTAGTGCCTGTAAAAACGTACGTAAATGTACGTTTTATAGAACCACATTTTACGTAAAAAAAGATTTTTCTCCCACCTCTACAGCAAAGCAAAAAACAAAACAATAAGAAAAACAAAGAAAAGCAAAACAAAAATACAAAAAAAGGAAAACAAAATAAAAAAATTAAAAATAAACTCAAAACAGCAAGAAAACAAGCAAACAACAAACAAAATAAAGTTTGTTTTGTTTTGTTTGAAGTGAAACAAAAAACAAAAAAGCAAAGCCAAGCAAAACAGAAAGTGCTTGGAGAATGTGAATGAAATTGAAGTGGTTGGTGACGTTACACATTGGTCAAAATGGTCTCTTCCCGCTCAGAATAAGCTGCAGTGTATCCCAGACCTTTTTGTCATTTGGCATAAAATCTGGCTATGTGAGACTACATGTGACTTTAAGCAGAACTGACCATGGTATGTGCGATTCCACATCCTCTTATTGATAACGTCCCCTGGGGGCCTCACACCTGACCGATCCAGAGTCTCATTTAGGGCATGAGAATACAGCATGACTCCATCGTGGAATGAGCCAGAAATCAGATTCATCTGGAAGAGAGGAAGTGCACAAATGACATACTAGCATTAAATCTCTAAATAACTGGGGTTTGATTAAATTTGATTACTTTTATTAGATTACAAGCTCTCTAGAGATCATAGCGATAGAAAAGTTGACAGCATCGCAAGACTGTAATTCCATGACCCACACAAGACTGTGTGCTAAGAAAAATGGCAGCATTCCTAATGTTGTCCGTCATTCTCCTGTGGCTCGACTCACCTCTGCTTCACTGTTTAATATCACACATTCCTCCTAAATATGTTGAAATGCATCCTGTTTCTCCTGCTCCATGTGTTTATTTAAACACATGGAGTATTTGTTTGATAATGGAAATACATTATAAAATGGTGATAAGGAGTTGGTCACTAAGAACTATTTCAAACTTGTTATTTACATGAGGAGGAGCACCACTAATTCTCAGAACTGAACCCACACCCTAAAGTGCAGAATATACAGTTAATATACATCTGAATTCAGTCATATTTATTAAATAAAATATTATTTTTGTCCTTTCACTGTGTTTAACTTGCATGAAGCCTGAACGTTGTCTCTTTGTCACAACGAGTGAATTCATTCCATAATTCTATTAGTTCATAAAAACCATATATGTGACCCTGGATCACAAAACCAGTCTTAAGTTGCTGGGGTATATTTGTAGCAATAGCCAAAAATACATTGTATGGGTCAAAATTATAGATTTTTCTTTTATGCCAAAAATCATTAGGATATTAAGTAAAGATCATGTTCCATGAAGATATTTTGCAAATTTCCTACTGTAAATATATCAAAACTTCATTTTTGATTAGTAATATGCATGGCAAAAAACTTCATTTGGACAACTTTAAAGGCAATTTTCTCAATATTTTGATTTGTTTGCACCTTCAGATTCCAGATATTCAAATAGTTGTATCTCGGCCAAATATTGTCCTATCCATATACCAATGGAAAGCTTATTTATTCAGCTTTCAGATGATGTATAAATCTCAATTTTGAAAAATTGACAATTAAGACTGGTTTTGTGGTCCAGGGTCACATATTGCAAATATCTAAATATGTATTTCAGCATGTTTTTTGTCATGTCTTATGTACATCTGCTATGCAGTACTGCACGGCTCATGATCTCTGTATGATTGCTGTAACCTGTTCATATAGGCAAATAAATTAACAAGCAGCGCTAACATAGGCAGTGTGAAACAGACGTGATAAAGACCTGAGAGGTCAAATTTGGAGTTGCCTAATAAAAGTAATATCAATGTATTGACATTTCTTGCGTAAACAACCATCTCACAATCACCCAGAACACTTTACCAACTACTAGCAATATGCCAACAACTAAGAAAAACAACACCACAGAAACACCTCTTACTCATTTTAGTTAATATATATATATGCATGTGTGTACATGCATGTAGTCATAAAACAACAAAAAACAGAATATTTAATTCTCAAACTGTAGCAAAACATAAAGCAAATCTTTTTACTCCTGTCTTCCACTTGTCTTCTCATTAACATCAGTTCAAATTTTGGAAATTTGTAGGTGATAATTAACTTGAGTATCAATCATAAACAAATAACAAAATATTAAGACAAATGACTTCCCTTTTGTTCAACCAATCTAGGGTTGACTGATCCATCATTTACTGAGAAACAGGAGCTTGGTTTTGGGGCTGTATAGGTGTGTGTGTGTGTGTAGTCCTGGTATTCCCTATGTTATAGGGACCAAATGTCTCCACAAGTATATTAATATACTGAAATTTTGACCTTGTGGGGAAATTTTTTGTTCCCCATAAGGAAAACTGCATACTAGATTAAGTTTTTTGAAATTCTAAAAATGCAGAAAATTTTGTGTGGTGAGTAGGTTTAGGGTAATGAGAAAGAAAATACAGCTTATATAATATACAAATTCTTACGTCTATGGAATGTCCCTATAAAACATGGAAACCCAACATGCGCGTGTGTGTGTACCAACTTAACCATATGTAAGAGATTAATTTGTACTCAGAAGTGAGCTAAATGTGACAAAACCTTCCAATAACTCCTTTGGGGATGTCCTCTGTATAAAAACGAATTGTTTTTTAACAATTGTAAAAATGCAGGAAGTTTTCTGTTAGTGTTAGTTTATTTATAGCTGAACATAAAAAACAACAGAAGTCTATGGTATGTCACATTGCCATCAGGTGTTGAAATTTGCAAAATTATGGCTTTATACCACATAATATCTTTGGTACAGCTATGTTTTTAGTACTGGTAAATGACAAAATACTAGATTCAAACCCTGCATCCCTGTGAGCCCAACCTCTGTTACATATCAAAAACATGTGCACGAACGTCCCATAACTCTGAGAAGACAAACACACACCTGAGAGAGCGCGGCACAATCATGGACACTCAATTACATTATGGCATGCAACCCACTCAGTGAGACTTGGAACACACTGGGAAAGCGTGCCCTTTCCACTGGAAAATGAATGCTGGGGAAAGTGGAATTTACACATATGGACTAACCCAGTAGGGCCGTACTGCATGTGGAAGTCAAGTTAGGGCAGCTACACCTTTTCAGAGACGGCAAAGCAGGCACTGCTATGGGAAGACACGGGTTTAGAAGCTAATGCTGGGGAAGCCACATCCTTAACAGGGAGGTTCTAAGTGGAATTTACACATATGGACTAACCCAGTAGGGCCGTACTGCATGTGGAAGTCAAGTTAGGGCAGCTACACCTTTTCAGAGACGGCAAAGCAGGCACTGCTATGGGAAGACACGGGTTTAGAAGCTATACCGTGGAAGAATACACATATGGGATCCCACAGCCATCATATGGGATTGCCACAGCCATATTACCCTGCAGCCCAAGATTGGTTGCCCACTGAAGCTAAGCAGAGTTGAGCCTGGTCAGTACCTGGATGGGAGACCTCCTGGGAAAACTAGGTTGCTGTTGGAAGAGGTGTTAGTGAGGCCAGCAGGGGGTGCTCACCATGTGGTCTGTGTGGGTCCTAATGCCCCAGTATAGTGATGGGGACACTACTTCTGGTAGAGTGAGCTCACAACCTGTGCGGGCAGGGCACGCCTTGTGCTTGGTAAGCCAAGGCGATAACATCCACTATCCAGTGGGCCATCCACTGCCTTTCCCTTCTGTTGGCCTCCGTAAAAGACAAAGAGCTGCTCTGATCTCCTGAAGCTTTGCGTTCGGTCTACGTACAGTCGCAGAGTGCAGATGGGACAGAGCCAAGCTAGGGCTGTGTCTGCCTCCTCCAGGGGGAAGTCCTTGCAGGTTCACCACCTGGTCCCTGAAGGGAGTGGTAGGAACCTTGGACATGTAGCCGGGCTGAGGTCTCAGAATTACATGGGAGTCAGCTGTCCCAAACTCTAGGCACGATTCGTAGACTGAAAATGCCTGCAGGTCCCCTTACCCTCTTGATGGAATCCAAAGCAAACAGGAGCAAAGACTTCATTGATAGAATCTTCAGCTCAACTGATTACAAGGGCTCAAATGGGACCTGCTGAAGTGCACTCAGCACCAAACTCAGGTCCAGAGAGGGTATGGAGGGAGGGCGAGGAGGATTTAACCCTTCTCACCCCCTAAGGAACCTGATGACTAGGTTGTGCTTCTCTACAGACTTGCCTCCTATGGGGTCGTGGTATTCAGAAATTGCAGCAGAAAATACTTTGAGGGTGGAAGGGGACAGCCTCTGCTCGAACCCATGCTGCAGGAAGGAAAGAACAGCTTTGATCGAGCATCTTTGGGGGTCCTCTCGGTGAGAAGAACACCACTCGATGAACAGGTTCCTCTTCAAGGTGTAAGCATGTCTTGTAGACTGTGCTCATGCCGAAGAGATGGTATCTGCTACCATCTGGGGTAGGTCACTTAGAACTTACTTGCCCCATCCAGGGACCAGACATGGAGTTTCCAGAGGTCCGGACAGTGAGCGATTTCCGGAGACGCAAACAGGTCTACCTGAGTGGCTCCGAAACATCTCCAAATCAGCTGAACCGTCTGGGGATGGAGTCTCCATTCTCCCGGGAGCACAGCTCATGAGAGCTTGTTGGCTGCATGATTGAGTCGCTCACCACCTTGCCGGTTGATGTAAGCAACGGTCACAGTGTTGTCCATATGGACCAATATGTGCTTGCAGCGTAGCTGCCCTTTCAGGCGGCCCAAAGCACGTACTGCTAGCAACTCGAGGCAGTTGATGTGCCAATGCATTTAGGGACCCATTTAAACACCTGACACTACCTGCCCGTTGAATGTGGTCCCCCAGCCGGTGGCAGAGGCATCCGTGTGTACCACAGTATGCCTGTATACATGCTCTAGTGGCACTCCTGCTCTAAGGAACGCAGGGTTTGACTACGATTTATACCCGGTGAATGCCACGTTGCCATGCCCATTCAGCCTTGGAGCAAGTGCTGACACGGTCTCACATGAAGCAGGCCCAGCAGTGTGACTGTCACTGCAGCTGCCATATGCCCCAGGAACCTCTGAAACAGCTTCATTGGGAATGCTGTCCTGTCTTTGAATGAATTCAAGCAGTTCAACACTGACTAAGCACATTCCTCTGTGAGGCATGCTTTCTGTTCGACCGAATCTAGCTCCATACAGAGAAAAGAGATCCTCTGCAGAGGGGAGAGTTTGCTCTTTTCCCAGTTGACCAAAAGATCTAACTGGCTGAGGTGGTTGTGCACCAGATACCTGTGTTCGCACAACTGATCCCGTGCCTGTGCCAGTATGAGCCAGTCATCAAAATAGTTGAGAATGCGAATGCTGAACGCCATTCGCTCATGGGAACAAGGGCCGACTCAATGACTTTCATGAAGACATGGGAGACAGGTACAGACCGAAGGGTAGGACCTTGTACTGATATTCTCGTTCCTCAATGCAAAGCACAGGAACGGCCTGTGTTGAGGGAGAATCGAGATATGAATATACGTGTCCTTCAGGTTGGTCGCTGCAAACCAATATCGGGCACAGATGCATTCGAAAATGCATTTCTGTGT